AATGCCGAGAGAGGAAACCGAAGATTGTCGGCCGCGCGTTTCCGTCGCATCGACATTCTCCCCGCGATGGTACTCTTCTCGCCGATGAAACAATATCGATAACACCGAAACTGGCCGCGATCGTTTTGCATTGTGCAACCCGCGGATTTATGGCGATTTTCCACTTTTCGTTTTTCTTTTAAAATTGTATATTTTTCTACAAATTCTTTATTTATCTAGTTAACTTATCGCAACACCAGTCGCTTTTTATTTTCATTCTAAAATGCTAATTATACTATATATTTGATAACTGCAAATATTGAAATACAAAAATAAAAAAATTGGAAGAAGCGCATTTGCTCGTTTATTCGCTTGTTCAGTTTTTTAAACAGCATTATATGCTTTTAAAATTAAAATAATAAAGATTATATCATAATAAAAAATAGAAATTTATTAATTCTCATAAATGGCGTAAGATATTAAATATTTTCATTTTTCATGTTTGCTTTCTTGGCTGTATTTTTAATGAAAAAAGGAGAAATATTATATGCGGTAATAAATTAAGAGGAGTTTACAAATATAATTAAAACTAATCAACAAAAAATTCTTTAGTTTCACATTTGTTTTCAGTCAGTTTCCTCGTTTTAATATTCCAAGAACAATTGAAGGAAATCAAATGGCTAATCATACAAATAATGATACCATAAACGGAAATGCAAAAAGTTCTGGAAACTGTTTAAATTTCATGAATTATACATTTAACAGTGCTAGTTGAGATCTAATAAACTCCAGTGTGAGATCTGGGAATTAAATTTTGCGCAAACGAAAGCACTTTGGTCAAGCGCGAAAGCGATATGTCCCTGTAACTCGTTTACGGAATCTTACGCATGTAAGAGCGGACGTAAAAACGCATCTCCGTCGCCACGCACGTTTTACGGACTAAACGGTGCAAAATTATCGCGCGTGTCCGCCGACTACTATATTGTCCTCTTGCGTTACGCATCGCGATTACCATTACTTCTCTTTTTTTCTTTTAGAAAAATGCAAATTCTTCATTCACGAAGAGGAATGTTATTTTGCACGCACATTTTTGATATAATTCGAATGATTATGGTTTTATTTGCATTTAATGATACTATTTATTATTATGCTTCATTACCTTAGTTTATTTCTCATGAAGAATTATAATTTATCACATATAAAAAATTCCATAAAGACGAGAATTTACTTCTTATTCTTCATATTTTATTTTTACTTCTAAATTTCTTCTAAATTATTCGCGCTTATTTTTTTCAGCTTCTTCTTATGACAAGAATCTTACGAGATAGATTTTAATTTGTCGTTTCCTTTGATTGGAAATATAAAGTGTCGCGACGCGGTCGTCGTACAATATCGGGAAACGTTTTCTCGGAGATTTCGACCGGCTTTTTCTCCCTTTCACGTACGATCGCGCGCCTATGTCGCGTCCGCGACGGTGCGTTTAAATGATGTGTGTAGATATATATATATTGTATATACATATATATGAGAGACGAGAGTTTAGACGAGGTAGGCAGAGGGGTTTCCGGCGAGCGTTAACAGAGTAACAGAGTGATGTAATGAGGCCCGGAAGCAGGCAATTTGCTGCCCGCGGCAGCCGCAGTAGCGCGAGACAACCTGCCCGGAGTACCTTCTTCTTGATACCGCGGTCCAGCCTTCTCCGTATTGGACACCTGACTGATAAAGCATGCGAAAAGTGATGTCGTGAAAGAGCGCGGATAAAAAGAAAAGAGAAAGATACCGCATGCAGTGGTCGCACGAGCGAATACGTGAAAAAAAAAAAAAATCGTCGGCGCGCGTCGAGAGGAGAGGATAATTATTTCGTATGATGAACATGCGGTCTGTTCGGATAACGTTGTTTTTTATTCGACATAATGAGTGTGAATTATTCGCGACAATGGAAGTTGCACAACTGGCGTAAGATACATTTTTATACATCAAAGATTTTAGTTTCATCGAAATTAATGCCGATTCTAACAAGTTTCTGGTGACTATAACGTTAAATCTCGTCGAAAAGAGCGATACAAGTGATGTAGCGGTACATTTTTACAAAATTCAATAACATTTATCCAATTTTCATCGCTGTTTGGTATACATAAATTTCAGTTCATGTATCTCATTATGTTACTTACAATTATATTAAATTAAAGCAACTAAACTATTAAAATATTATAATTGAAAACTATGATAACAGAAAGATCAAGACCGAAATAATCGAGTGTAAACGCTGCTATTTAGTATAACGGAATAAAAATCCTCGATACAGTAAAAATGGCGATTATCCGAGTAATCTGCGGACTACAATATCCCTGACGATCGATCGTTTGATTCAGATTTTAAACTGTCGGACAGAACCGTAAAGACAATCCGGTTGCGCGCACATCGTGCCGCGGAACGGCGTGACTATGTGACAGTTTTGTGATTAGATTGACCTCAATACGAGCTGGATATCCGGACGTACCCACGAGAGTGCTTTTATCCTTAACCATTCCGATTGAATATTAACCAATGTTCCGTGATAACAAACGACTCGAGATGAACAAAAAAAAATTTTGTTGCGTTTTGCTGGATTATTCTATTAGATAATCCCAGAAAAAAAGTAACGTTTGAACGATCTGCACCTCGATAGTGAAACGCGTACAGGTTCATCGTGAAAATTGTCACAGTGATTGAAGGTAAATAAAAAAGATTAAAACGCGCATGTGTTATAGGTTGAAAAGAATGAATTTATAAATGGTTAGCGCGACATCGCGTTTACCGCAAAATCTTTTATAACATAATATATTTCTAATTTAAATTTAATAAAAATTTATATAATTTTCTAACAAGAACGTAAGAGATCAGTTATTTATTCTAAAAATTCTTAACATTATGTAGTGGCCCTGAGTTTAAAGAAATTTATAATTCAAATTAAATTATGATTAACAGAAAATAAACGAGTTTAAGTATGATTTGTTGCATGTATTTTTGTATGTGTGTGTGTGTGTAAAAGTGGTTTAAATTTTGAAAACTTTAAGTATTAGATTTTTCTAATATATATACAGGTATATAAATTAAATCTCTATCGATTTTAAGAGAAAGTAATTTATAAAAATTTTAGATAAATAATTGTAATTAGTTTTTTTTTGTCAAATAAGAAAAAGGTCAATAGTTCACATCCAAATATATTACGAAGAATGGAAAATCAATACGCATTAAATATTTCCACTTGTGATAATTTCTTTATATACATATTTTCTCTAACGTATCACGATAAGAATTTCACAGGTTTGCATAAATTTCACGTGGATCGGTCGGCTTTATACGGCATCATTTTGTTTGAATAATGATTTATGTAATATGGGAAGGGATAGCGGAAGTGGCAGATTTTCAAGATTAGACGGAAGCGGACTCGCGATAAACGACAAGCTTTAATATTATAGCTGGTCCCTTATCTCCACGTTCTCCGTTGCGGAATTGCGATGAGATACGATCACAACGGACCTCATGCAAATTCTATCGTGGATCGTTTTCGCAATTTTGACGACTATAAGTTTGAAGCCACGTTTGATGAAATGTAGATGATAGGCCGATGTGTTTTCTAAATTACGCGAATTTGATTAGAAACTCTCCGTTGCTACATGCATAAGATCTGATATTTTTTTTAATGCTTCTGATAGTCATATCTCTTTTCAATAAAATATTGCAAAAAGATGGAAACAAAGAAGTGCGAAATGTCGCATTCAATTTACAAAATGTGCGTAAAAATCAGATAAATGTTTTGTTGAATCTAAATGGGGAAGAAAGTATCAAAACAAACTTAAAGCAATACTTTTTATTCTGGAATTTTGCAAATCAAATTTTTTCAAGAATAATTTTACGTAATTTTTCAAGCACGATTTTATACATATACGTAGAGAAAGAGAAAGAGAAAGAGAGAGAGAGAGAGAGAGAAAGAGAAAGAGAGAGAGATCAATTTTTGTCAGAATATACTTAATTGTAGCAAAACATGGAATGTATGTATATTTGCATGTAAAATGGGAGATATTTTAAATTAATAGTTTAATTTATAATCTGCAAAGCATTAATTCTTATGAATTAATATCACATTCGATGTGACCTTTAATTCTAAACTAATGGATATCACACCTATATGAATAAGAATGCTAACGTAATAAATACTTTTCTATATTCAGCTCTGATTAATTCATGACCAGCTGTAACCGAAGCTAGATTTATATACCTATCGTCTATTATTTTGCTCGATAATCGAGGAATACTGTAGAAATGTGTAAGGTATCTTAGAAGGTACACAACAGAAAGAGATTTAAACAATGACTAGAATCTTCATATTAAGTATTCTAAAATATAAATTATTCTAAAACGTATATATTGTATTTTAATAATTCCATGATAAAAAATTAATGCTAGAAATGACAGCTGTCTTAAAATAATTAAAATTGTTTGTATTTGAAAATTATTTAAAATTGAAAATTTAAATTATTTACGAAATCATACACACACATACAGAAGGAATAATTAAATATACTTACGCAACATTAATAATTTTGAGAAGTGTCAGAAACTAATTTGTAAAGAAAAAATGGCTCAAATTTAATCATACTTAAAAGTCATTTATCGCGCTGACATTAAAAATTAAGAGATATATTTTTGCATATATGGTCATCTATTTTAATTCGATCTTGCCTTTACCGGATGTTTCAAGGGTCCTTTAATGACCCCTACTGCGGTATCTGCATGAGTATGAGTGCTGCCAGTTTAAAGTAACGTAGGTTTGCTTCATTCGACCCTGCATTGCATTTTAACCACTAACCATTTTAATAAATCGAAAGAGTTTAGTAACGTGGATGAGGCTCACGTGTGAGCAGTAGGATCAACTTCGATTTTCGATTCCCAACTCGGAAATTAAACTACTGACATACTATTAAGAGTATTCTGCTAGTTGATTTGTACGACGACGCAAACTTTACTTCTGAGAGTTACAATGTTAATATTCTACAGGAAGTGCTCAATTGAACGAAACGGAGTCAACGTCGACGTACAGATGTTTCTCGTTGAGACTTCTTTATGAATCAATGAATGAAAGAAAAAGACCATACACACATAATTTTCGAATTTTCGTAATTCTACTGAAAGAGAGATTCAATCTGCGTACTGTCAAAGAATTTCTTATTTACTTAAAGACAGCCTGATCAATTCTACTTCCATGTCACAAGTTATTATCGCTAACGGCAAATCTTTTGGTCATTTACAAAGATAATCCTGGATTGCAGGGGCTCTTTGGTGATGTACGACAGCGCTAGCTGTTCGTACGCAGGTGCGCTCGAATTAAAGGGAGCCTCCGGGGCCGGTGCCGCGGCCGCGGCCGCCGCTGGTGTAACCGCGGCCGGCGTCAAGCAGGAGAACTGGCCGTACCGCGGCCTCACTTGCGGCAGCACTTTTCAACGGCTCAAGGAGAGTGTCGACAAAGCGAAACAAGCCCTCGCCGATCGCAGTGGTTACCTTGCTGGTGCGTTTTCGCCGCCACCGCGCGCCAACCCGTCCACCATTTCGCCCACCGCCTCCATCACCGGTAAGCATATTTTTTTTCTTATTTTTTTTTCCGTAGGAATCTCAAGTCTTTCTCATCAACATTTATGCGACAAAAATTAAGTCATGATACGATAAAATAAATAAAATAAAATAAATTAAAATAAGCCGAAAGTGTGTGAATTAACATTTTTTCGTATAAAGCTCCATTTTTAAGAAAACTGAAAAATTTATTGAGTATATGTCTTGATATATTTACGTGTATCTGCTATCATTCATTATTTTCATTACATTAACATAACATTACATGGAATATAGTGTCATTTTTTTCTTTCTAGAGAGAGAAAAAAACAGAAGCTTATGTCTCAACTTTGTCAAGACACTTAGTGTTTTTCATATCAAAGTGAGAGAGAAAAAAACAGAAGCTTATGTCTCAACTTTGTCAAGACACTTACTGTTTTTCATATCAAAGTTTATTAAATAATATAATATGGCACGAACTTATGCAATCACCTGATAATATAATAAAATATTAATATTAGATTTGACATTTTTTGGGGCAAATATATCAAGCAAACATGCAGGCGTGAGATATGCATGAAAGTGTAATTCATTGCTTGACGATGCGAAATAGTTGTTGCTGTAACGCCGAGCGTAAGGTTACGCACAAACGCGTGGAAAGACACACGTAACCTGATTACTCGCAAGTTTATACCGGCATAAGTACCGCGGAGATACCATCGATCGTTTCTGATATGCGTCGCGATGACGTAATGCGGTTAATGAGAGCAAGAGCCACATTTGCCCTCGCATTTTCCCACAATGATAACGACAATGAAGCACACGCGACATTAAATTTCACATAGATTTCACAGAGTCGCAAACGCGCTTTAACGATTTACGATTTGCATGTTCATATTAAATGTCTGATGTACAAGGGTGGATCGAAAAGTAACTTGGTTCAAAATAACACACAATGGTTTTAAATTCAAGTTGTATTTCTTTAAAAAAAAAAAAAAAGATCCACGAACCAAGTTACTTTTCGATCCACCCTCGTATATATATCTAATTTTCAATATTTATATCTAATTTTAATATTCATATAATTAGCCTTGGATACTGTAAAATGCAAAATTTTCTTTTTATAAAATCGTAGAAAAAGTTATTACTATACAGTAGTTAGATTTTACATTAAATATTTGCACAAATTTTTCTTTTGTTTCTCGAAGTAAGAAAAAAATAATATATCACTATAATATTTAACTGTCAATATCTTAAAATTGCATTATCTATTGCACAGCTATATTATCAAAGAGCTATTGCGATTTAATTTTTATTCTCGCTATTGAAGGCTATATCTTTCTGTCGACCGTTCGCGAAATAAAACATCATTTGTTATGCGAAGAACAATTTCGCCATATTAATGGATTCATTATTACTTTTTCAAATAATGTAAAATTTATATTGAAAATAAAATAAAATGCAGCGTGGCGTTTTCGCTTTTAATAACGGTGTCGCGCGGTATCTCTCTCCAAAATTATTAAGTACCGGTAGAGACAAGTGTCACACCGCGCGCGATGTTCTCCCGTGCCAAGAGAAAGGCGAAAAAAAAAAACCGGGGCAACAGTCTCGCGCGCGATAATTTGTCATCCGGCAGTAGCAGCAGCCGGCGGGCTGACTGTTGCTCTTCGTTGTCGCCGATTTCCGATTGCTTTTTTAAAGCGCCGGTCGCCGAGGACATTAATTACCCGGCCAGTGTAAATCACGTTATCTGCCGCCCACGCCCGCGAGGACCGCGAGGAGACGGCTGGAATGGAAGGGGAGGATGACGGAACAAGAGGAGGAGGAGGAGGACGAGGAGGGTGAGGAGGGCGAGGAGATGAAGAAGGGGGGAGATAGGAGAGGGATGTTCGAATACGACGGGGAATCGTGTTGCGCGATGCGAGGGTGTTGCATCGCTGCCAGCCGAGCAAAATGCTCGTCGACTGCTCTCCACGGCCGCAGCAATATCCTGCTCGCCGTTACCGAAATTTATCGGCAACTCGCCCGAAACTTTCGTCTCGCCCGATGGTGAATACGTTTAACGGCACGACGCGGTCACCCGCAGTTACCCTGCCGATCGATCGATCTTCCGCGAACGCGAATTCTGGATCGCGCGCATCCAGATATCCTGGTCGCGCGCTCCATTTTTCTCACTCGCACCGTTACACGTTTTTCGTTAATTCATCTCGCGCTGACAGTAAGGTCACTGAAATATAATTTGCTGAAATAACGTTATTGTTATCGAATACTACCGCATAACATGGTATCCGTGTAACCACAAAACGATGTCTGTTAATTTGCAAAGTGATATCTGCAACGTTCTCTTTCAATTGACAGTTTAATTTTATTTACAATAGTTTTATGATATACCTCTAGAAATATAATACATTAATACGCAGACTTGTTAAGTATCAATACTCAATGATAATAATGAGTTTTACTAATATTGATTAACTTAATTCATATCTCACACACTATCTTTTTCTACAGATTGCATTCCAAGATGTAATAAAAATAAAAAATAATTTATACCAATCGCACAAAAGCGAACACGAACCCCGCATCGTATTCTTAGATTCCTTAAACGTATAAATCATTTATCCTGAATATGGAGCAAATATGAAAACATTTAAAATTGATACAATATTATACACACATGTCATTATAATTTTCATGATATTTTACAATTAGACTAACATTATTTTCAAAATTATTTTTTGCATCAAAATTCAATATTGGATATTTCACTCTCATCATCACGATTCTTAAAATTATTCGACCATTTTTTTTTTCTTTCGTTTATCACTACAATCGTACGTTACCGTATCTTTTTACATGATCATGCAGTTTAAGGGAAATCTTTAGTTACATCCGTGTATCTCGAAGGACCGTCTCAAAATTTTGACGCGACTCGTAGGGCTCGAGACAAGATGGTGGGTCGATGATGGCGGCGGATAGTTGCGAAAACGCAGAATGACGAGGGAGGAGCGGTTACAGGGTTAGCCGGGAGCGTATCCATGACAACCGACCGCCCCATGTACCCTCCGAGATCCCGGATGCTCCCCTCGGCATCCCAGCATCCCTCTTCTCCTCTTCCCACTCTCCCTTTACCCCCTTTCCACTCACTTGCCGCCGTCCCACGTTTCTCTCCCTGCTATCCTGGGCAACCCTCTACGATCCCCGCAGGCTACCTCTATCCTCTATCTTCCCCTATCTGTGGCCCGCTCCGAGGGATGCACGACTACTTAGATTTTAAGTCGGGCCGTTTCGTACCGCATACCTATACCCTAACTTGGCTATAATTCTCACGAGATACGGATGTGTCGACAAAGGAACTGGATTCTCCGCGAAATTTCGGCCCTTGCTCTTACTCGCGACAGAATTTCGATGCAAGCGCGAAGCACAAATTTTGTGCGGCACAAAAGCTTCTCCGGGATTAAAACCACCGACTACGCTGAACTCGCGGTATGCCGCATGATGTATTTTGACATCATATATTTTAATTAGCCATGTCTTGAATTAAAGAAGATGCAAAACAATTGATTACCAATATTAATAGTATATATAATAATTTCTGAATAATGAAATATTGAAGAGGATGAAGAAATTAAAAAAAGTATTGGCGAATAATTTTTGGGGTCGCAACTACTTTTTCAATTTTTTCTCTCTCTCTCTCTCTTTCTCTCTTTCTCTCCGTATATATTATATATACTTATATAT